AAGTGTGTGTATTGCCTTAAAATTAAATTATTTCAGATGGACTTTCAGCTTTTTTTGTAAATGACACTAACGAATTAAATGTTATAATTTTAATTGAAATATATATTATTTATACTGATTTTAGCACCCCAAAATGATATGTTTTATGTTTAAAGGTATTTTCCAAACTTAATTGACGACTTTCTATTCAAAATAGACCAAGAACTTAATTAAGCAAACATTTAAAGATTTCTAAAACTGAACATTTTTAAGAAGCCATGTGAAAGTTGGGGATTCTTTTTTTCTTTCTGTGTTTGTCTTAAATATCTTTATCTTATTTTCACCGAACTCAGAAACTGTCAAACTTATCAAATTATAGAAAAATAAAGATTGTGTTCCTTTGTGGCACACACACCATAATTACCGAACATGGATGCAATTTTGTAAACGAGTTGTGCCGTTTCTACCGGCGATGCCTTGTTCCGATTCCCAGAGACAAATTTTCCCAGCGGTGGACTGGCTTTTCTGTAATTTTCTCAGACTCCGTTTTAGTCGATCATATGCAGATAGTCAAATATAGATTGGCTTATTATTTTCATTCTTTTTATCTCTTTCAGAAACCAATCTCAGACCTAACCTCTTTACTATTGCGCTCGTAAATCTACCCTGTCCAATTTACGTCCGACAGTGCAAAAGGTTTGGCGAGTGGCCCAAGCTTGGGAGAACAAGAATCCAATACAAGGGAAATTGATCCTCTTCTCTGTGAAAAGCTATATTTGGGATTATTTGTATCGATTTTAGTCTTCCCCATAAGTCTGGTAATCAAGTTAGAAACACTTAGAGATCCATGCGCTGACCATTGCTTGAATATTATAGCTATCTTTTACTAATATACTTAATGGGTCTCTTGAGTTGGGCGGAACACATAGCAATAAGGTTTATAGGGGATTTGGGGATAGGTTTTTGTAAAATTGTTCGTGTAATAGAGGATTAAAACGTATCTTCTTGGTCAAATACAATCTCCTTGCGTAAAGAGATAACTGGTGAATAGGGGCTTTTGGAAACGCTCTATGTTAGGAACGAACAAAATGGTCTGAGGTCACGAATTCTGAACCGTTTCCCGGTGATAATGAAGCGTTACGTGGACGATTATGTCTTCAAACTAGATGTACATTTTGATGGGCGGTAAACAAATTCAAACATTGTGCATTAATTGGTTATATGGAACAGGCGTAATTTGGGTATAGCCATGTAATCATCTTTAATAAGTTATTTAGACTATGTAAATTGCGAAAACATGAACAGGTTTGAAATTTGAAATATGTAACTAAGTTTCCTTTCAAAGGGTCAAGGACATGTGTAGACCTTCATTTATTCTCACTGTCATTGACTGTACACGTTTATGAAAAAAGGTCTTCAAATTGATTTTAAATAAGACAATGTTTCCGTAATATAGAATTAATCATTGACCACATTTAAGTGTTTAACCTTGATGAGCCGGTGTAAGGGGGCCTTGGACGCTTGAGTAGTTTTTATACTTCAGCTATATAGTATAATATTCAAAGATTACATTTAATCAAATCAAACAGTTCCATTTTTACCATGCTAGTCGGTCTTTAAGGTTCGCATTTTACTTATTTTTAGTTTTATAAAGACGTTAAAACTCACATTTTAATTGATCAAAATAAAAATTCATTATTATAATGTCGGGCAATATTTAACAAGTCTTATTTACGATGACATAAAATTGACCTCGATTTTCTTTCTGTTCAACTAGAAATAATATGTATAATGCCTCGAATATACGCTTTCTATTTATCAGTGATATGTGTGTATTATTTAAACTTATTTCTGAACTGATATCAACTATTTGACATTTTAAGCACACTGTCAAAGGAAATAGACATTTATTGCTTATTTTGCTCACTGAAAATAAACAGGCAAAGTTGATGTAGATATCTGATGTTGAAATTTCTTGTTCACGTCACTCACTCTCCAAGTAAAAAAAGGATCTTTTTTTATTATTATTAAGTTTTTATCCCTCGATGTTAACCATGTATCATTTCGCAAAAAAGGAGCACATTTGCACCACATGTAAGGGGCTTCTGTATGATTTCATATTCTTACAGTTAATCAAATATTAACACTCCATTGATTAAAAACATTCATTTGCAAAAGGGATTGATTAAAACTTTTTTTAAATATATGTCTCCTAGTTAGCATTATTCAATTGTTCATGTAAAAATTAATTCAGCAACAAAATATGCAAGACTTAGGGAAAAATAAAACACAAAACTTTAGTTTAAGGATTACATCTTTTTTTTTTTTAGAAAATCTGCACAATTTAAAGACCTCGGACGAATGAATTGTGGTTGCTTGGCCTTAATACTTGTCTTAAATGTTTAAATTTTGGCTCCAGCAAAAAACTTTCTCTCTTAGCTTGTGACGTGAAGGCGCTCGGCGAACGGTTTTATGACAATGTGCCCTTACTGTACAAGGAATCACGCTAATTTTCCGACAGTAAATGCTAGTTTTGTTTATGTCTTCGGCATAATCGGCACAGTGAAAATTTATGCCAACATCCATCAATTTCAGTTTTATCAAGCACGTATGATAATTTCGTCGTCACATATAACGAAGCCCAGGAGCTTCCGGGTGTCAAAAATGCAGTAACAATGTAGACCTAAAATGTTTGGGAAAACGGCGGAAAACCTCACAAAATTCGTATAGTTTGATATATAACTTCTCTGACTTGAATTAATGATAAAAATGAAATATGAATTATTAAGATATTTTACAGACGATGCATATGAATGATGTTTTGCCTTACACATATCAATATGTTAAAAAATGTTTGAATCTTGTCCATGAACCTTACCTGCTTCCATCCATTATTCCATAATAATCACACAGATCTTTTTTATCTTAAATGATGAAAAGCGTTATTTCTTAGAGATTTGGAAAAATAAATATAAGTATATGTGCTTTTTGACCATAGAGTTTGGCTCACTTATGCGAAATGAAATCATTTAGATGTATCTAGTTGCTGAATTAACATGAGACCCGAATGATTTAAAAGTATGTACTCTAATGATTAGCAATAATAATAAAACAAATTTGAAGAAGTATAAGTGTTGATTTAGGTGTTGTATTATTTTGCAATGTTTTGGTTTTTGTTGTCATTTATTTTTAGAATCATAATAAATTGACATTAGTTTAGGAGATAATCAAAATCATGTGTTCACGATGTGGTTTTGTATAAATACAATTTTTAGAATAAGAAATTTATATATTAGCATGATTTATATTGGTTTAGCTATTTTATAATTGTTTCTTGATATATAAAGATTTATGTGCAGATATCGAAATAAATATTTGTTTCACCAACGTAACAGAGCATGTTTTTTTACAAAAATAAATAATAAATAAGTTAACAATGCAATATTTTCTAAAACACGAATGTAACTTAAGAACAAATCACTATTATCTCAGTTATGATTCAATACATATTGAAAATATGTAAAACAAGACCTTACAACTTATAATTCAACATAAATTGAAATAATAAATATATATATATTATTTTCTTTCGCGTAAATAAAAGAAAACAACAACAAAACAACAACAACAAAACTATAAACCATGTCTTATCAGATATAAATATATCCACATATTTTGTAGAAATTTATTGTTATTTAATTATTGTATATACATGTACTTATTTGTCTCCAGATATTAGATTCTGTCATTTATTAAATGCCAACGGCAAGAATTTAACCGATTTACGTGTGTAAAAATCTAATGAAATCGTGTCTACTGTCATCATCTTACAAAGATATCTTTATAGAATTTACAGAATCTTACACGTTATATAAACTAACGGACTACTTTTAATTTTAGTTTTGACAAAGTACAATATTTCTCTTTGACTATATCTTCATTTTTTTAGCTTTGTTTACAAAAATAACATGTATCTTATATGTTATTTTATTCATCTTTGCCTATAATATTCAATTATAACTTTTACTTTTTTTGTTTTGTTTACAAAAATAACACGCAATGTTTCAGTGAATGAAATTGAAAAGATATGATTGTGCAATAAATAAAAAAATATGGAGAAAATTTGCTTATTATTATTATTATTATTATTATTATTATTATTATTATTATTATTATTATAAATAATTATAAAATAATAATAATAATAGTAATAATAATAATAATAATAATAATAATAATTATTATTATTATTATTATTATTATTATTATTATTATTATTATTATTATTATTATTATATCAATATTTATATTAATTATTATCATAATGATGATGATAACAAATTTATTTTATATATTGTACAATCATATCGTTTTAATTATTATTATTATTATTGTTATTGTTATTATTCTTGTTGTTGCTGTTGCTATTATTATCATTATAAACATCATCATCATTATTATTATCATTATTTTATTAAGTTCTTTTTATGATAAACCAGTAGGAATTTAAAAAAAATGACAACCCCTCCAAATGATGCCTAATAACTGCATAATATATAATAATGCTATGTAAATAATTCACTTTATAGTAAGCCTTCTTACAAATAATAAACCGTTCTCGTGATACTAAATGCTAGGATAATACTCTGTTTCCTATATTTATCTCTTAATGTATGGAATCACACCACGTGATTATTGTGTTCTTAAGTTAATGTTATCTTATTGTTATAAAATCGAGATATTTTTTTTTACATTATCAGTTTCGTTGCTTCTTTTTTCTTTACAAAAAAAAAATCAAATATTTTCATTCATCTTATTCGCCATAAAATTGATAAATCTCTTTTAAAGACAATTCGTAAGGTCATAAAGAAATAAAAACAGTCTTTGCAGAAAACCAGCTTTATAAATTCTCTAAATCAGCAATGAAAAAGGAACTATTCGCGATATAAAAGTCTAGGCAAACACACTGAGCGTATTCTATGGTTTAATCGTTAACAGTATAGAAAAACTCCGTGTGCGATACGATACGCCCGTAAAAGCCGAACTGTATAGCGAATACTGCGCGCTGATTGGCTAGCGCGATACGGTTGTGACTTGTATGCAAATGATTTACACAAGCGGACAGTGGGCAAATGAACCACAAATCACCGGTTTTACTACCATTGGTATAGGTCATGTAGTCAGATATTAAAACGTATAGTAAATTTATAACAGAAAAATGAACTCTTATTATCCTGCCTCGCTTTTTGCGCAATATTCAAGTGAAAATCATCATATGGGAGGAAATGTGGGATACAGTGCTGGAAATTACGGACTTTTCGCTTCTAGATTCGCGGAGCAAATAGGATATCATAATTCGGGTTTTAATAGTGACCACCATCAACGTATTGCAAATACTTATCCGGCACATCAAAATCACGATACTTCTTCAATTTACGGTCGGGATCATGCTTTACATGCGACTCCAAACGCACACGGCGGACGTGTACCGAGCTATCCGCCGGCCGATGACAATTCACACCCCACCCACCGTAGTTTTACGAACTGTTCAACTGCGGAAGGGACGTGGAATGGTACCTCAAATTCGCCGGATTCCACACACAACAGTAACAGCCCATATTCTTCAAACTTAGACGCACAAAATGGAAACTGTTCAGTGCTTCAAAAAGACTTGAAAGAGCCTCAAAGTCCGGGTGAATCCTCGACGCCATATTATCCTTGGATGGGAATAGTAGGTAGGTAAACACAAGTAAATAAAATGACACAGTTTTTATGTGTGTAACTTTTTAGAAATTTGATAGGTATACCAGTTAAAGTCCTCGTCCGAATGGTAAAGTTGAGAGACTTAATCACACACCATTTGATCTAGTAGTAATGATTATATAGCATTGCATACCTTAAGGGTGAAATACATTTTCAAATATATCAAACGGGGACATTAAATTATCAAGTAAATGTTTCAACAGATGTTAGCGCATATTTTAACCACCATTTGTGTATATGAGAGTTTTTTCCTCATTTATAAGTATAATATATAAGACATGATATTCTGCCGAAAGGTTTAATTGCACCTTTAAGATAGATTTATATGATTTAATAACAAAAACAATGCGTAGCTTTACCGGCAAAATAATAAACATTTTTTAAGCACGCGGTATACCTAAAATATGAAAATGTTTCATTTCATGGAATAAGCATAGTTTATTTGTCAGTTTAAGGCCATGTTTTGATAAAAAAATTAGTCATAGACAAAAGCATACATAATATATTAATTTTGTAAACTAATGACAAGTATATCTCTGAATATTTTACACCTACTTTAAACACATAGCGTTATTTTAGAATAATTTCATTTAATGTTAAAGGTTGACTCTTTTGTAATTTACTTTCAGTTTATTTGTGGGTTTTCATAAAATACCACTCAATAATGCAACAAAATGAGATTGTAACATAATATCTGTGTGTGTTTTGTATAAAGCATATTGCCTTAATACACGGACTTCGTGCACGAAAAAATACATTATGTTCATTTAATGGCAAGATAATGTTTATATCCAACAGAACAAAAACATCTGGTCTAGAATGATAACAAATTGTTAGAGTTGGGTGCGTATAAATCCACTAGAACATTATACGATTTTTATTACTTTTATTAAGACTTCAACCCTACTAATTTCTGGACATTATTACAGTCTTTCTGAAAGCCCGCATTTTGGGTAATAAGGGCTGAAGAGGTTCTCATGTAACCCCGGTGTACTAAGGGCTCATTTAATCCCCATGTTTTACGAGAAATTCGCCGATTTTATGTGCAACCATTTTGACGACATAATCGCTAATTTAGCAGCGAGTCGTAAATAAGCAATAAACAGTAAAAACAACATTAAGTGCTCGGAATATAAGTTGGCCATTGTTGCTGGGGAGCGAGTCAGAGTGTTTTTGTTGCTAATGAAGGATTCTAGAGTTTTAATACAGAACGATGGACATAACTTAAAATCCAGAGGGCATGAAATAATGAAAGGACATTTTCTAACGGTCAGCTATATTAACTATGTCAGATAAAAGATTTTTACATATAAATATCATCCGATGGGAAAACCTAGACGTTTTAATGATGGCGGCGGTTATAAAATCCCTGTGTAGTTTCATGTAAAGTGAATAAATATTATGGCTTAATAAGAAAAACACAATTTATGCAGGTGTTATAAGGAACAGTGTATATATTTTAGACTGACAGAAAAGAGAAAAATAATCGGTCAAATAGCTGTATTGTTACAGATTATTTATCATGTATTCTTTTATTTTCATATTTTATTATTATCGTTTTGCATAACTCACAGCTAGAATATCACCACGCACGTTTATCGTTTACAAAAATTAATCAAATATGCATTAGGTTGATAATGGTTGTTTTGTTTGTTTTTGTGATTATTTTTAATCGGAGGGAAAATAAAAACAATTTCGTTATTTAATAAAAAAAAAGAATAAAAATTGATAGTTGATAAGTATATTATTACATGAAACAATGATGAAATTAGTATTTTTACGGAACAAAATAATGTATGAATAAGAATATTTTTTTTAAAGAATGCGTTGCCAAAATGTAATAAAACTGAAGATAACGTAAGAAAATAGCCTGGATAAAAAAAACTGGACAATCAACAATTCTTTTTGAAGGTGTAAATAGATCTTATCTTAGTTTATTTCCGTACGACATAATCTAACAAGATAGTTAACGCAAGTTCAAAAGAATCTTTAAGGGGTTACTATAGATAAATATGCAGTTTAATGAAAAATTGCTGGGTTATTTTTAAGTGCGCATTAAAGATGGAAATAGTTATACTTTGTTGTTTAAATCAATATCCTAAAATAGACGTGTCTTTCAAGAAATGCGACACAAATGCTTAGATATTATGAAACTTTTTTGTTTTCATTATATCTCATACAAAAATATAAAAAAATAATTGCATAAGAATAATATTGTTGGGATTAATTAATTTCATTTGTGCACTGGCTTTAATATTAATAATATCAAAATAAAAAATGTAGCAATTTATTGCAAAACAGATGGGTTTGAAATTCTTGATTAATATTTTCAATTTAATTGAAAACTTGTTAGCACTTAAATTATGGGGTGTCATATAATATAATGACATTTCGTATGTTGATTTATACTATAACTTAATTAAATAAATTAAGAAAGAAAGAAAATACAATATGCATTGTATAGCTGCAAATTTGTGGGAATGAAAGTATAATTTTTGTACAATATCATACTTTACTGTATAGAAAAAATAAATAAAACCACAGAATAATAAAAGTATTGTAGATTTTCGATTTTTATCATAATTAAAAATAAATAATTGATTTTATTTCCTCATTATTCAGTCATAAAAGAATTAAGATAATGTTATTTAAATGTGTTTGTATTTTTGTTTGTGAATTAAAAGGATAAAAAATAACGTTTTATTTTATATATATGAAGGGGATTGATATTTTTTTCCGTAAACATATTTCAGGAACAACAATTAAATGCTTTATGATTTGTTTTTCATGCCACACATGATACAGTAGATTATTTATTAATTTTAAATTATTTATTTTCAATCTGTAATCTAAAACCGATACACTTTTGTATGCATTTGTGATCACTTTACCACCTTTTTTTTAATTTATAACTAAGAAAAATATATATATTATAACAATAAAACCTCAAACGTAAATTGAGCTATCTAATCTAATTAAACATAAATTTACAGGAAAATGTTTCAATATACAACATTTACTTGCCACCATATTTGTTTTCACTTTTTGTTCGAGGGTAGAATCAAAACACGAATGGTGGATTGATAACGTGCATGCATTCGGGTGGCAATGTCGGTCTAATGTAGCATATATACCGGGCTAGTAATGTCAAGAAAATTACACCCTTGAATGTTTTCAAGTCGTAAAAAATTGATAAAATGTTGGTTTTATTGTAGCCTCGCAATACATACCCCGTCAGGTGACCCGTAAAACTCATGACTTACGAGAAATGGAAAATATTCACTTATTGACTTAAAACATAATCACAATTTTTGTTTTACAATTTAGTTTAATATTGCTTTTAGTTCGATAGTGTAAAAGCAATGAAATGTTTATTTTTAAAACGTATCGCATGTTTTGATCAGTTAAGTTAATCAAACAGTGCGGCGCGCACATTTTTGTAACATTTTTCTTCTATCTCAAATTTGCATTTATTACATTTCTAATTGCGTTTCGGTTATAAACGGATTGCACAATGCAGTGGAACTCGTCCTGTACACGTGTACCACTAAATATAATCGAATTTAATAGCTCTGATTTCAGAATCTAAACTAAAAACCGTAAAATATTTACTTTTATTGCAACAAAACGTGTTCTTCTAAATGTAACACGTGCAATTTCATTAAATTTTTACCATTGAACCGCACGTGCACGCGCTTGTAAAACATATACTGATTCTACAGTTAGTGAAAATATATCATTTTATTGAACACGAATTTTTTACGACATCGCATCTGTGTAATAAGAACAGAAATCAGATAAATATATGTTTTCGCCATCTTACTAAATCAGTCCATTTTACGCCACCTTATTTTCCCTAGTAATTCGCACATTTTTTCTTTCTTCATGGCATGCATTTAAACAAATAAGATTAAATATTTTTCTACGATTTTATTTACACAAACTTGTATGTCCCTTTTACAACTAAATTCCACCGTGATGTTAATTAACTAACCGATTAAGAAAAGAAAATCAATAATATCTCTCAGGTTTAAACACTATTATCATGTTTTAATTATTATCAAGTCAGTTTCTAATTTTACTAACGTTATTATTTGATGTATTTTCTAAAGAACAGATGTAATATAAATTAGAAATAATCGTCTCTCGAGAATTTCAATGATATTTACCTGCAGATGTTGTGAAATTGATTTTCCCAGCCTTGAAATTGGAACAAGTTCACAAAAATGTGAGCCACCGACAGTATCGAGCTTGGTCCGACTGCAAGGATGTTCAGGCTGGCCTGGCTCCTCTACACTGGTGGCATAGACTAATTAGTTGCGGTTCTTGTAGGTTCAAAGATTCAAGAATAAGACATAAATTCCATGATTTGTTTATATCTAATGTCTAAAGAATCACCATTGTGTAAAGTTTTCATGTATTATTTATTACATTTAATTTAATTAAATTGCATACAATATCACTATGTGTTATAGAAGCTTTTGTGATTCCGTGGTACATAAATCATAGGTCTCTTTTGTATTTTGCGACAAAGTGTTCTTTCATCTAAAATAGGCTTATTTTTCACTGAAAGCCATATTAATATATCCTTAAATACACGTAATGTAATGTACTCAAATATTATTAAAAATTAAAACAAAGAAAATCTACCCCGTAAGAAGGTAAACATATAATTGTTTACATTAAAATGATAATTATACAAACAAGTAATTTACATTCATGTTCGATTTGTAGTTTCTTTTTGGTAGAAATATTTTAATGTGTACATGTACACCTTCTTTTAGATTTTTTTTTAATTTAGAATAAAAAAGTACTATTTGTGCTACGTAATTTTCGAAAATAAAGGCACTAAAATAATGTCAATATCTCAATTATTGTATGCATCTAGAGAAGTGTTTTAATCCATTTTGACTTATGAAATTCATGAAGTATTTGTCTATTTTCTTGTATTAAAAACTGTCATTACGTCACT